GACAATGTTATTTTGACGTTGATATTTTGTTGATATTAGGTTGTGTTGGAAAGTGACCAAAATCCAACATCGAGCCAACATCTTAAACCAACGTCATATTGATGTCAAATACTGACATTTATTCCTCAGGTATGGCAAAAAAAATAAAAATAATAAAAAATCCAACGTCTGATAGACGTCATATTGGAACGTAAACACAACGTCAAGCTGTAACATTATTAGACGTTGATATTTTGTTGTTTGTAGGTCATGCTGGAAAGTTACCAAAATGCAACAACTGTTTGACCTTAGACACTGACGTCAACCTGACGTTGGTTTCTGACTTCAGGCTGATTTTCATTTCCAGACAAAATGCAACATCCCACAACGTTGGGGTACAACGTTTATTTGATGTCATGTTGACATCCTGTGCCTGCTGGGATGTCAGTCCATTTCTATCATTTTTCCTTACCAGGACTTGTAATTTGCAAATCGAAGGCAAAATGTTAAAATTATTACATAAACAATGTTTTTGGCATACATATATAAATTTTTCTTTTTTTTATTGAGCTCATAATTTTATTAGTGTCCTCTGATTTCATTTTACCATATTACCATATTGCCATATTACCATTACAAAAAACTGTAATGACAATAGTGACATCACCTTCATAAAGTTGCATCATCTCTCAAACAGTATTCTAACAGTTAAACACATGTGGGCCTCTCTCCGTTTTGTAATGTTGTTTTTGATGATTTATGAGTCTGACTTAGGGGTATGGGGGGTATCATGCAATGTCAATACTGTTAATAGTTTTTAAAATCGAAATGTAAACAACTGTTTATTTACTTTTATGTAATTCATCACAGACTCTGGAAATGAAGGCTTCAGCCTACATTTTAGTGAAACCACAAAAACTTATTTTAACATACTATTGACTCCACATCCCGCTCTCCCTTGTGAAGCTAATAAGGAAGTAACTGAAACTGCAATTCATCAAAATTCCACTAGGCCAAAATAGAGCACATTTCTATTGACCCCAATGATAAAATGGCCAACTTTATAGCAGAATGAACGGGGTTTACCGGTTGGTACAAAAAATGATTATGGTGTATATAGCTATTATTACTTTAGCTAATTTTTTTCTATAACTCATCCATTTTTTTATCAATATTTTTTTCCATCATTTGTTTATATATATATATATATATATATATATATATTATAATGTATTTATAAAATTTTTTAAGCAATACAGATACAACAACAAGCAAGTGAACAGAACATGGGGAGAAAGAAAAGAAAAAGAAAAAAAAGGGGGGATTGGGCATTAATTAAAGTAGCGATATTGCATATTCATGCACCACAAACCTTTACAAGATCTGACCTTGTTAAATCAACCCTCTGATGATTATGGAGGTTATGTTTAAACCCATATGTAACAAAAATGGATCATTTGTTTATATTAAGTTATATTAAATCTGCATATTTAAGTGCGGGGCCACTTGAGTGACAGCTAGGTCTCGCTACTTGCCGCCATGTCATTCCAACTAATTAGCAGCTGATCTTTTACTTTGTTTTATGTGTTTTATGTGACTTTACACTGTAAATTGCCTTTTGGAATTATTTCTTTCACTTATCATATAATATGGCATGCTGTGTGCACTTAATTATGCTCACAAACCATTTACCCGGCCTCCATTTCCCAGGGGCCTCATCTATCAACGCTGCGTACGCACAAAAACTTTGCGTACGGCAGATTTCAGGCTCACGTTTGGATTTACTAACGATGAAATGAACGTGAGAATGTGCGTTGGTCCACGCCAACTTCATGTCTGCCGTACGTGCATTTCTTGTGTGTTTGTTTTATTTCCATTGGCATTTCCTAGAGGCAATCATGTTAAATTGCACACTACAAAATATCTTTGAGCTGTGCAATGGCAGCTGTATAAGATGGGATCATCTGCATGTCTAGCAGGTATATAAGGTTTCCATGCCATGCAGTTGACCAGCCAAACATTAAAGCGCAACTTGCAGCGATCGCCGGTTTTCCCGATGTAATCGGAGTGATTACTGCATGCACATTGCTATGAAGGCGCCATCTGAAGAGGAATTTGCATAGGCTACATGAATCGGAAATATTTCCATTCAATACATGGGCAAAAAATATGTGATGCACAAATGTGCTTAACATAACACACACTTATTAATGATTCCTACTTGTCTTCCTCGTGATGAAGAGTAGGCAAAATCTGATATCTAATGGGGGAAAAAAAAAAAAAGTTCATCAGACGCTGGATTCGAAACGAGTTCATGAATGATAGCGTCAAAACATGTTGCCATGCGTTTTAAGAGCTATGCCACTTGTGCCGCTAATATCCGCTTGACTTTCACTTAATTACCTTATTCCAACGGAGTGTCCAACGAGACCCCACAACCAGCGTCAGCTCTCCCACTGTTTTTTTCTTTGGTTATTAATTACGGAGGACAAACTTGCAAATAACACAGTTTTTCTCCAGTCTACCTCTGATAGGCGCACCTCCAATTCACATTCTATTCGAAGTTTCTCATTTTGCTTGCTTTTGCCATTGCTTCTTCGTTTGGTTTTGCCAAAGTAGAGTCATTAGCATATTCATAAGGGGGAGGAGGCAGGGAGGAGTTTTGCGCTCGTTCACGTGCGCTCAGTTTCACGTTCATTTGGATGTACAAAGAGAATATGCGTGGGATTTGGGTTTCATACATTTGATTTTTTTACTGCGTACACACATTTACAGCTTTGTGCGTACGCAATGTTTTAGCATGATTTCAACGTCAAATATCATATCTGTAAATGTATTTGTTTTATTTATATCATTTATAATTTTATTTTTGAGTTTGACTACACTCCAGAAATTGACAGATTGATTAGCTGTAGGCTACATGACTGTTATGGCTGGATTTTTATAAATAGCCTTTCATTTACTAACACAGACTATATTTGAAGTATTTGAAAGTAATTCACGTTTTCCTTCTGTAGAAAAGCATCATAAGAACAATGCTTAGTAGCAGTACTGTATTACAACAGTGTTTTTAAAAGTCTAAACACTTTATTGATTTAGTAAACAACCAATTAAGTGAACATGCAAATGGTGGATCCGTGTGAACGGCTGCGCAGATGTGCAAATCTACATTTGTGGATTGACAGTTTGGGCTACTTATCAGAATTATGGGAATTATCGGCTCGACAAATTTGAATTGGACAAGCATTTGTTAGTCTTATATCTTACCCAGAAAATAAAATACATATAAATACATTTAGATCATTTACTTTAATCATTACTATTTGAATTTAAAGAGACTTTCAACCAGCACAACTAAAAATGTTTCTAAAGACAATCACCTACTGCATCTTTAAACAAAATAAAAAATATTAAATAAAATTGTAATAAACTGGAGAAATCAAGAGAAACATATATGATTTTTTTTATTTCAAAAATATCCAATTTAGCAGGAATTTTGCAGTTTGTAAATTTAATTGTATTGTCTTTCTATTGTTAGAGGGATTAGGTGACCAAGCTTGTTTTTTAAATGAATATAACTATGTAATAAAACCCATTAAAATTTTTTTTTTTAAATAAATAAATAAATAAATAAATAATAAATAAATAGAATAAATAAATAGTTTTGTTTAAATTTACCGAAATATATTTGCTCACACTGTATGTTATAATAATTGAGTGCATGTTGTCATAATTGAGCATACCTAATTTTGAAAATAAATTTAAAAATTGGATTTCTATCCATTTCCAAGTGAATATAGGCAGTTTTTTTTTTTCTGGTGCAGTTTTTGAACCGTTATCGAATGTTATTTCGTTATATAAGCTCAGATTTGGCTTCAGTACTGACTTATCTAATGTAAATGCACAAATATAATATTGCATAGCTTCCTATTAAAATATGAATTGAAAAGAATGATTTGTGAGGGGTATACTTATATATGCTGAGCACTGTATGTATTTATATGAAAAAAAATAATTTATATATATTATTCACAGTATATCATATTTTTTCTTCTGGAGAAAGTCTTATTTTTTTTATTTCAGCTAGAATAAAAGCAGTTTTAAACTTTTTTTAAAAATCATTTTAAGGTAAAAATTATTAGCCCCTTTAAGCTGTATTTTTTTCGATAGTCTACAGAACAAACCATCGTTATACAATAAGTATAATAAGTTAACCTAATTAACCTAGTTAATCCCTCAAATGTCACTTTAAGCTGTATAGAAGTGTCTTGAAAAATATTAAGTGTTATTATAAATAGTTATTAAAACTATTACGTTTAGAAATGTGTTGAAAAAAAACTTTTCTCCGTTAAACAAAAAATTTGGAAAAAATAAACAGGGACTAATAATTCAATATATTATATTATATATATTGTTTAAATTTCCCAGAGATGTATTGCAGCTGGAAGGGCATCCGCTGCATAAAAACTTGCTGGATAAGTTGGCGGTTCATTCCGCTGTGGCGACCCCGGATTAATAAAGGGCCTAAGCCGACAAGAAAATGAATGAATGAATGAATGAATAAATATTGTTTCAAATTATGACTTTGCTAAAAAAGGGTGACAAAAATAGGCTACTCATTTGAGAAAAATGCCAGTTGCCTATATACTATAATGAAACTATATTTAATTGCATATAGTATAAAACTACAGTAATGCCTGTGTCTAATTAAAATAAGAAGTAACATTTCCTAACATTATAGTCTTTCTTTAATAAACAGCCCATCAAGAAAACATATATTAACCTTTTGACATTACAAATTTGAAAGCAACCTGCTTAGTGGAGTGACTTACCAAGAAGTAGGCTATGTTAACCCATACTTACAGTAGCTATACAGCGTGTTATTCAATAAAAAGAGCATAACTTCTATAAAACATATGTAAACTTCTAGAACACTTTAGAACGTTAATATGTATTCTAAAAGAACAATCAGAGCGTTCTACAGGCGCTGAAGGAATTAGAGCGCAGATGAGCGCGTTTACCATGGTAGCGCTTCTGCTCGTCTCTGGCCAGCAGCACGGCGATCCGCAGTCCGATCCCAGAGGAGCAGCCGGTGATCAGCACCACTTTCTGCCCGCCGCCGCTCGCCATGCCCACTCCTGTCTGCGTCCACTGCGAGCTGCTCCAACGGCGGACTTTTAAAACTTAAAGCGGATCATGCAAGTCGGTGCTCATGTGAGCGGGTTATGCGGTCACATGGCAGGCAGAATCGATTAGTAGTTGAAGGAAGACGTAAACACGCATGCTTGCTTGGGTGAGCATCAGCCTTTACTGTACTGCTTTGAAAAACAACAGATTAATGCGTTGTGAGCTGTGGGTGCAAAGGGGAGAGAGGTGTGTGTGTGTTTGGGGAAGGGGCGGGGGGCCTCGAGGCGAGGAAAAATAAATACAGCAGTGAAACAACAAACAATAACGAGTAAACAGGTTCAATTAATTGAATGTTAATAGTTAATTACCTCTGAGGTTTCACGCCTTGAGGTCTGTTAGTTCAGTGTGATGAAGGAACGTGTTTTTATTTTAGAATGCTGCTGGGGTTGTGTAAATAGAGTAAACCAGGATTTACATAGATATTATTATTATATTATATTATATTATATTATAATTTGTATCTTTACATGTACAAATCAAGAGTGACAAATCAAAACAAAAACAATTGGCTAATTTTCAATAGAAATATACAAATAATAATATAATATAATATACTATAATATAATATAATATAATATAATATAATATAATACCTCTGTTAAATACTGATTTACTCCCTATACTGAATTTGAATATTATTATTAGGGTTATTATGAATGTTATTCTTTTTTTTTTTGTTTGTTTGTTTGACATTGTACCTTAGCTCTACAAGTTGACTCATACTCGTATGACGAGTTTTTTTGTTGTTATTATTATTTCATGTCATTACCTGAGACTATATGTTAGGTATCCTACATTGTTTACAGTCACACTATTAGGCTACAATATTTGCATGCTTAGTAATTACATTAATCTGTGCTGCCACCTGCTGGTTAATCGAAGTAGCTACAGCAAACGCAGCTTTATGAGCACGCTCATTGAAGTGTGTGACTCTGGTGTGACCACATAAAAAAATTGTTCTTGATGGTTAAAAATGAGTAGAGATGGTACACACACATCCTTTATTTAAGTAGAGGTATAGATACTCATGTTGCTGGAGTACTGACTACACTTCAAGTAAGTAGTTAAAGTACGGCCTGAAATATGTACTTAAGTAAAAATAATTCTATGGCTGTTTTAGTTTCACAGTAACTACACTGCACATCATGTAAACATCTATTTTCAGCAGCAAATTAGCCAATTAGCATTGGTTAACAGTATTGTTCAACAACGATACTCAAATAGTTGCCCTTTGTGTATCGTAACCTAAAATGTAACTATATGACTGTAAAAACAATAGCTGCTATAATGGTTCAGATATTCTAAAACGTAATTCATTTGGCTGCCTGTATTTTCATAATTAGGCATAATAAATGTCTTAAATTTAACACTTCATTTTCTCTAAAACATATTTCATTTTTTTCTTTCAATAAAATAAAAACTTAAAAATGCATTCAAATTACGCAATGACAAGAAATAATATAGATCACACCACCAAACACATGAAAGCGAAAGTAACGAGCCGTTTTTTAAAATGTAAAGAGCAGAAAGTACAGATATTTATGTAAAAATGTCAGAAAAATAAACAGTGGAAGTACCAGAAGAAGCTACTTAAGTACACTAAAAATGTATTTGTACTTCGATACTTCCCTTTTCTGCAAATTGGATGTTAAAAGACAAATCATTATTTTATTTTATTGTTTTATTTTCAGATTAAGGGTTTCCAAAATTGGGGTCCGAGAACCTCCAGAATCGGCAAGGGAGTGTGATTAGTTTAGATTGTATTGCTAATTACAACTAATAGATTGCTTTATCTGATAAAAAATTTAAATAATTAAATAAAATCTAAGATTATATAAGATTATATTAAGATTAAACTTTAATATCTTTATAAAGATTTATACATCATTAGTGGTGGAAAGAATACTGAAAAATCATACTAAAGTGCTTGCCTAAAAATGTGCAAGAAGAGTAAAAGTATCTGTTGTATTACTCAAGATATGAGTAAACGTAACATTCTGTAGTGCATTTAGTTAAGGTCCAGCAGGCACACAATGTTAAAAGACGTTAATGTGAAGTTAAGATTTACTGTAGGTCGTGACGTCAGGTCACCAAAATTCATTGTTTAGCTTATTTTGATGTCCAATAACGACGTCAAATGATGTTGATATTTGCTTGATTTTAGGTTGAGTTGGAAAGTGACCAAAATCCAATGTCAAGCCAACATCTAAAACTAACGTTATAATGATATCAAATACTGACATTTATTCGTCAGGTATGGCAACCAAAATCCAACGTCTGATAGACATCATGTTGACGTCTAGTGCCCGCTGGGTGTTAAAGGCCATTTCTGTCATCATACAGTAAACATGCTTCATTTTCTCATCAGTGACATGCATCTAAACCAGGGGTCACCAATCTCGTTCCCGGAAGGCCGGCGTCCCTGCAGGGTTTAGCATTAACTCGCCTCAACACACCTGCCTGCATGTTTCAAGTATACCTAGAAAGACCTTGATTAGCTTGTTCAGGTGTGTTTGATTAGGGTTGGAGCTAAAATCTGCAGGACACCGGCCTTCCAGGAACAAGTTTGGTGACCACTGATCTAAACAGTCTCTTGGTCAATGTGTGTAAAGATTTTGAACATCTTTCTGGACACTTTTAATGCTTCCAAACAGTTTGCTGCAATTATAAATTGCACATGTCTTGAGGTAGTTCATCATGATGCGATTTACCTTCTATGTGTGATTTGATTGGAGAGGAATCACAGGACTTACTTGTTTAATCCTCATAGACAGGAAAAATAAAGTAGTGACTGCAAGTTGAAGGAAAATAGCGGAGTAAAAGTACCGATACTACACTAAAATGTACTCAAGGAAAAGTAAAAGTATACACATTTATAAAACTACATTTTACAATTACTTTACAAATTACAATTTGATAAAAATTGTTCTTTTCGAGAAAGTCTTATTTGCTTTATTTAGGCTAGAATAAAAGTAGTTTGTAATTTTAAAAAAAACTCTTTTAAGATCAAAATTATTAGCCCCCATTAGCCTGAGTTTTTTTTAGTCTACAGAACAAACCATCGTTATACAATAACTTCCATAATTACTCTAACCTGCCTAGTTAACCCAATTAACCTGGTTAATCGTTTAAATGTCACTTTAAGCTGTAGTGTTCTGAAAAATATTTAGTCAAGTATTATTTACTGTCATCATGGCAAAGATAAAATAAATCAGTTATCAGAATTGAATTATTAAAACTATTATGTTTAGAAATGTGTGAAAAATCTTCTCTCTGTTAAATAAAAATTGGGGAAAAAAATAAACACGGGGCCAATAATTCTGACTTCAACTGCAGTTCACCTAGAATGAATAAACGAATTCAAGTGCATAGAATTGGCATGGATATAGGGGACTGTCATGATCACCAGCAATGTAACCACCAGAGATCGCTGAAACACATTCACACTCACATAGGACTACAAATCTGCTGGTAAATGGACTACAAGAACCAGTCAAGCACCACAAACACACACACACAACCGGATCCTGATCCTGACTGATTGCATACACACAGGTGATGCTGCCCAAGTACTGATTACACACACATACATACAGCTCACTTTGAGACACTCATGGCTGAGTCTCCTGTAACCAGGGGAGTGACACTGACAACAGAGGTGAGGATCCACATGCAGGTTTATTAGCGAGGTCAGGCCAGTAATGGTCAACAAAGGGACAAACGGATGTATACAGGCAGGTCAGAATCGTAGTCAATTGGCAGGCAGAAAACAGGATCAAACAAATAAACAAGGCAAGGATCAAAAACACGGTAAAGGCAGACAAAGGAAATGCGTTGTGATGTCACTATAGCAGATAACAAGACTCAGCAACAGTGTTTGTGTCTGAGCAGTACTTATAGTCCATGAATCAGACCTTAAGCAGCTTCAGCTGTGCGAGTGTAATCAGTCAGGATCTAGAACATGTGTGTGAATGGAGTGCATGTATGAAGTTGTAGTCCATGAACTGGCGGAGTTGTAGTTTGTGTGAGTGTGAATTTTTTCTGGTAGTTAGATCGCTGGTGATCATTACAGGGACATTTTCCACCAATATCCACCAATTACTGAAATGTCCCACTACCAAAAATTTTATCGACTTCAAAATAAAATAAAGCTCCGTCAAGCCTTAACCTACTTTTGCACAAAAGGTTAAAGTCAAGTTTGCTGTGAGTTCACTATAACACCAACGCAATCTCACGCAATTGGTAACTTTTTGATTTAGTGGCTAATTCGTATGAATTTGTACGATCTAATTCGTACAATTTAGTACGATTTGCTCATCCCCCAATGACAGTTGGGGTTAGGGGTAGGGTTGGGTGTCACGCCCCTTTTTTAAAATCGTACTGAACTCGTACAAATTTGTACGAATTACCCACTGAACTGACAAAACGTAAAATACTTTTGTTTCCTCGTGAGATCAGACTGATAACACTGTTAACCAAGGCTGTGCAATTAATCTAAATTCAGTTTCAAATTTAGCCTCCATGACTATGAAAAACAATATTGGGGATAAAACTGTTAAATTGCATCACACACCTCTTTAAATTTCTCTAGGCCTACATTCATACCTCCTCAAAGCAAGATGCCGTAAAATTATGTAAATTGACTTTTGCAGCATAGAACGTGTTTCATTAATTGTTTTTTGTATTGTCACTTGTTTATTTTGTATCAATAAGTACTTTATTCATGTTTTTAAAAGCGCAAAAACAATGCATGCGCTCTAGTAATGTATGTCCCCACCAATCTCAAGAACGAATCTGCGCCCTTGATTGACTTGACTCTTGACTTGTTCCAAACCTGTTGACTTGCTCCAATCCTGATTTTTATCCATCTGTTAAAAATAAAAGAAGATATTTAAAAGAAAGCTGAAAACATGTAACCATGCTCCAACTTTAGGAGTGAGTAAATTTGGGTAATTTATTTTTTGGGGCGAACTATTCTTTTAAATCTCTCCTTCAGGACAAATCGGTGTCATTTTATATCAT